TAGGTGTTAATTTAAAGTAGTACACATCTGGATAATGACAGAAAGTAAATCAGAAATTATAGTCCTGGATTTATACATCCATTTTAAACATTTTTCACAATTTCTTTTTGCAGAACTGGAAAGAGAACTCAATGGGGCTTAATAATGGATGGCTGGAACTCATTAATACGTTACTACAAAAACAACTTTTCTGATGGATTTAGACAAGTAAGTTAAGCTTTTAGCTGTGGGGAGGTGTATTTGATAAGCATTGCTGTGCATTCTATAACTCTTGCCCTCCTTTTCTCTTCCAGGATGCAATTGATCTTTTTCTTGGAAATTATTCAGTGGATGAAGTAGAACCTGCTAGTCCTTTACATGTCAAGAAAGACTGGAAGTTCCTAGCTGTGAGTATGGACACCTTATTTGTGATAAGAAAACACAACCATTCAGTCATTGACTTCATTATGCCTGAGTAGGACTTGTTAGTCATGAAGCATCCCTGTAATCTGGTAATATTTCTATGATACCTGCTTATAGGATTAAACCCAGACTGTTCCCTTGACAGAAAATGGAGTGTCCTTGAGGTATTGGAAAAACTGCTGTTTGCTTTTTTTAAAATATGCTTCACCAGGTGGAAGGGGGAAAATTCTACTACTCGTTATCAATGACTGTTTCCTTCTGCAGAAGAATTTTGTGGAGTTACTTTCTCATACTTCATGCAGAAGCATAGACTGTAGCACAAAACTCTCACTCTTTTTCACCCTTCCCTTTCTATTTCAAAATGGGATTTGGGAACATAATGGGTTTAACTGGTGTATTTATTTTTTTTAAACAAAGCATAAACCTCAGCCTCTCTTAATGCACAGGAGGTGTATTTCAGTTCTAAACATGATTATTGAACAGTCTTCCAAATTTTGGAACTATCCGAACTTTTATTTGTACCTGAAAGCAGGTGAATTGAGAAGCAAACCAAGTAAATAGCTTTACATCTTAAAGGAAATTAAGGAACATATATACTGCTGTATCAAGTAATTATTCTGTTTCTCTTTCCTCAGTTACCTATTATTATGGTCGTTGCTTTCTCCATGTGCATTATTTGCTTGCTAATGGCTGGTAAGTCACTATTAAGTTTAATTTTATTCAGCTGGCTTGTGTCTCTGTGAACTTTGTGTAAATGGTTACCAGTAGCTGTTCAGTATAGGATAGCTTCTCAGTCATTCTGAAAGATGCTTGAACATGGCTCTGGAAATTGAGGTTTAGCACTGTATCATTAATGAGGAAAAAACTGAGGTACTATAGAAAACAATGTTAAAACTCATGTAGAAGTCATGAGAAAGGACACTTAATTATTCCCAAATTTAGATGCACCTTGGTAGACCTGTAGCTTTATTGTAGGCTGGATGAAGCCCCAGAGGAATACCTGTCTAATTTTGGCAGAAAGACAGTTCAGAACTGTCAGATACAGGCATAAGCCTGGTTCTGATGGATTCCCTTTAATCTAAATCTGTACTGAGAGTGGTGAAGGTTTTTGCCTTCTGTTTTTGCTTTGAATTTTCTAACATTACTGCCAGTAGAGTTCTTGACTGACTTCCATAGATCCGTATTCAATGTGTTCCAAGAACTGTGTGGCAAATACAAATTTTCCAAGGTAGGGAAACAGAAGATCTGTGAAAGACTTCTGATTTCATTTGACAACAGAGCTGAGGAAGAGCTTGAAATATTTGCATTTGTCCTAAAGTAAAACTATATGCTAACTGGAGATAATGAGCTAAAAGGTTTGTCTGACTCTTCTCAGGTGATACATGGACTGAGACACTGGCCTATGTGCTTTTCTGGGGAAGTGCCAGCTTTGGAACTTTTGCTATCATTCTTTACAATGGCAAGGATTTTGTAGATGCACCCAAGCTGGTCCAGAAGGAGAAGATGGACTGAATTTGTGTGTGTGGAAAGCGGCTTGGTACTGAGGATTCTTCAAGCCACACTTGGAGTCTCTACTGATCTGCTTTCCACACCAAAAAATGCTCTTATGAACATTGTTCCTCGGCAGTGGGGGGGAGGGGGGTCAGGGATAAGGAAATGGTGTCCTGTGGTGGTGGTAGCTTTCAACTGAGACCTGACTTGACAGTCTTAGTTGCAATGGTCTTTGGAATATTGCATTAGTGGACAGGGCTCCACTCTTACTGGCATAATGGAAAGACACAAGCCAGCTTTTTGGTATCTGGAATGTTTTGGAGCTTAAGTGGACTGCTTAAGGTCATGCTTCACCTGGGCTGTTGCAGCTGGCTTTTTGCTCTTGACAGGAGAGAGCTCTGATGTTGTTAGTGTCTCAAAATACCCAAATGTTGAAGCATTAATAATGGAACATCTGATAGTGGTCTCTGAACAAATATGGTGTCATAACAATAAAAAGTCTAGGTCCAGACTTCCAGCTGGATTATATTTGTTGTAATAAAGTCTGTGTTAAAGAGTCCTTAGTGCATATTCGTGTGTGGATTCTTTTCACTAAACATGAAAGATTTTGAATCCTAATGCTGTTCTAAAACGAGGTTTTTGTCCTGTCTTGTTTATCTAGAACTGATGCAATATTCTGCTAATCATTGTTTGGGTGAAAGGCCAGTGTAATTGGATGTTCCTGAAGTTGCAAATGTCTTGCACTGTTTCAATACTACAGTCTCCATATGAAAATCCAGTAGTTAGTGAGTTAAAATGTAGAATTTTCTTTCTGAAAATGTAAACAAAATCAAAGAATGTAAAAGTCCTTTGCAGTGTTTATTCAACCTTCCTTATGCTAAAGTTCCAAAGTACTTCATTACTTTAAGAATGGATCACAACATAAAAGATGAACTTTTTATTGTTTTGGTAATCAGCTGCTTCTATCCTTGGTTATGTTGAAATAATTTGTGAAAGAAGGAATAGCAGCCTGAGGAGAAAGCAGCAAGTCTAAATTTGGTATTTCTACTTGGGAGCAGCAGCTTGCTTTTCATGCATGATACTGTAACACACTCTTTTAAGAAAAAAAAAGAGGAAAAAAAAAAGCTGCAGACTAATTTGTGATGGTTAATGTGTGTCTTTAAATTTAGTGTTTCCAAGCTGTATAAAAATAAGGACCAATTTTAAACCATTTTGTCACTTATTTTATATGGTTTTGTTCACAACCAGACATGGAACTTGCTTAAGGCACTGTGCATTGTTTAATATTTTCTGTAAGTACAGCTGTATATTCAGATTGCGAGTATAAAATTTAATGGGGGGAAGGGACAGACATGTAGAATACTACTAGGACTAGCACAGGTGTCACTTGAAGCTAGAATGCAAAACACTGTTACTCCAGTGTTCCCTTGTGTTATGACTGAAAATATGTACAGATTCTTCCTTTTTTTTTTTTTTTCTTTTGCAAGTGTTCATTTTAACCTTGAATGTTTCTGGAAGCCTCTCTGGGTTTTGTGTAAACATAACCTGTTCATGAGCACTAGTACTTGCAAAGTATCCGTTTGCTTCTAGATGCTGTAATGGAAAAATTGCCAGTTTGTGGCTAACTGGAAAATCTTCCTAACTTAAAATTTTGAAAGATGAACTCCCTCAAGGGCACAAAATACAAGAACATCATAGACTCAATATTTGAAAGCCGTGGTTCTGGTGGCTCATGGGCAGATGGAGTTTGAAACTTGGCTCAGTTGTCTTGCAGTCTAGAACTAAGTTGTTGCATCTTTGGTGAAGAACTTGTTGCAGCAAAGACCAAATTTGAATTGCTAATATAAAAGGTTTGTAAGACCTAGAATAATGTAGGTTTTAGAAGTTGGAAGGCACCTGTGTTTCAGTACTTTGCAAAGAGTCTGTATTTCTAAAATCACAAATGGTGTACTACTCCTTAGTGACAATAAAATGTTCAACTTTTCTAGATGTACTGTCTGCAGTGCATTTTGTGCTTTGGAGCAGACTGTTCCCAAATTGTTCCTTAGGAGCTGTTTCACACCTGAAGAATGCTTCAGTTTTGTGTGTGCTCATTGCAGCTGGGGATTATCACTCAAACAGTGATGATCTCACAAAGTGCCTGCTGTCAGTCTGCACTGTGTGATGTTCTCCTCCTCTCAGCCAAGGCTGGATCTCTCTCTGGAGCTGGAGTGCCATGGCTGGAGTGCTCCAGTGCTGCATCCCCAGTGTCACTTCTGCTCAGGACCACTGGCTCTTTGCCCCTTTCCCTACAAGGGCACTTCAGTGTCTTATTGACCATACTAATAGGTGAAAATTCAAGGTGTCTTCTTCCTTTCCCTTTTACCTTCACTAGGTGAAGAGAGAAGAAAATTTTGCTATTACAGTTCTGGATCCTGAAGCTGTAAGTTTTTTCACAATAAATTAGCGCTTTACAGGTTCTAGGCCTTGGAATTTTTTTTTCCTGTTTGTAAGGCTCAGAGTAGGTTTAAAACTAAGTAGTGTATTTTTTTTCTTCTCTAAAATTTATTTTTAATTAAGGAAGGCAATCTGATAGTTGTAAAAGCTTACAAAAAGCTAAGCTTCACAGACCAAGCCCCTCACTTCTATCCACATCTCCTTCCCACTCTGGCCATCCTTTTTCCCCCATCCTCACCTTTCCCCCATCCCCTTTCTCCGCCCTCTCCCCCACGAGCGGGACCAGGCCCTGCCCGGCTCTCGCGGTGAGTCCCCCGGGCCGCTAGGGGGCACTGTCGCTGCCGCCTCCTGGCGCGCGCGGCCTGATCGAGAGGCGCCTCCGCCGCAGCGCGCTCGGGGCTCTGCGCTCCTCTCTCCTCCTCGCCCGGGGCCGCCCGCCCGCCGCCATGAAGCTCGTCAGGTGAGCGGGTGGGCGCGGATGGGGGCGGATGGAGGTGGATTGCCCGCGCCTGGCAGCGGCGGGCGAGCCCGGGCGCTCAGGGCCGGCCCGCGCTCTTCCCCCACCGCGAGCGGGAGCGGCCCGGGATGGGCTGTGCCGCGCTCCCGCCCCGCGGCCTGCGCGGGTCGCTCGGCAAAGCCTCCCTCCCCCTTTGCGGAGGGAAACCCCCCGGACTTGGTTAGCGTTGCCTTGCCGGGATTGTAACGATTTTTAAAATGGTTCCTTCTTTGTACAATAATGGCCGTTTCGCCTGGAAGTAGATGCTGGATCCTGCAGTGTTTCAGCTCCCGGTGGCTGGGTAGGACGTGGACTATGTCACTGAACATCCCCAGCACAGTCCGTGAGCGCCGTTTTTTTCAGGATGCGGAGCTACTTGGTGCTTCCTGTCGAGCACGTAGGGCTTTATGTGGAAGTGGACGGGTTTTGGTTTTTTTAAAATGCGTTTTTAATTCCCAGGTTTCTTATGAAGCTGAGCCATGAGACTGTGACCATTGAGCTGAAAAATGGGACGCAGGTGCATGGAACGATCACAGGTACGGCAGGATGCAGCAAAATATTCTCCGTTGCCTTTCGGCACCCAATTGGCAGCCGGGGCTTGAATGAGTTTTTTGTCCTGTGCTCCCTCTTGCGGGGACCGGCACAGGAAAATGCAGGAGATGTGCTTTGTGTTAAAAAAAGTGTCTGGATATTGTCGAGGGTTGCTGGGAACAGTGGAGATCTGTGACCAGCCAGCTCTCCATAGGCAACCACGAAGTACTTGGGGATTTCAGTGGGTCACGGATTGTCTTTGTGTAGTAGTGGGCGAGTCCATACGTGGTCAGAGATTTCTTTGTTTTAAAGGTTCTTCTGGGAGCTGGAGATTTGCTGTAGCACTGGGAACCTCTGAGCCTAACTGCAGCTTTGCCTGCAGACAGGCTCGGGGAGAAGGAAGCAAACTCTTCCAAACGTTGCTTGGTAGTGTCTTAGGATTTTAGTAGCACAGTCACAGAGTAACAAAATGGTTTGGGTTGGAAGGCACATAGAAGACCATCCAGTTCTGACCCCTCACCATGCGCAGGGACACCTTCCACTAGGCCAGGTTGCTCAAAACCCCATCCAGCCTGGCCTGGAACACTGCCATTGATAGGGCATCCACAGATTGTCTGGACAACCTGTTGTTCTAGCTGATGTCTTAAATTGGTTAAATGTTCCATGTAGGCAGTTCTAATCTAAAAAATAAAGTTAGCTATTCCTGTTGAGCATGTCTTTTGTTAAGGTGACTCTTGATGGAAATACATATTTGCATATGCTCGATTTCGTGAGAGGTGGGTTTGAAAACTCAGAGCTGGGTGTGGGATCAGGGCAAAGAGGAATCCTGGCCGAGAGAATCTGCTCCCCTGCTGCTGCCAGAGGTCTATCCTTTTGGTTCGTGGGAGTTCCTGATTACCAGGTGCTTCTTTGTACCACTGAGCTGAAAGTTGCAGGGAATTTTGTAGGGTTCATTATGTGGTTTTCAGGTGTTAAAATACTGAAGGACGTTGCTTGGTGAGTGTTCTTGGGAGCTGTGCTTAGAGACAGTAGATATTATGTAGGTGGGGCAGAGCACGTTCTGTTTAACGAGGCAAACCCTCGCGGCTGAGCTGAGGAAGCTGCTGCATCTCCCTTCCTAAACTCACCCCCAGGTGACTTTCAGAAACTCTTCTGCTCAGGCACTCTTGGGGGAATAAAAAGATACAACTCTTGTTAAGTTTGAATTTTATTCCAGAGGGTTGCTGGGGTGTTTCTTGGGCCAGTAGCAATCTGTGAGGTTTTGGCAGAGTTGAAAACTGGCATTATTTTGCAGCCAGGTTCATCAGCTTTGATTAAAGCTGAGTGAGCCACCTCGGAGTTCGATTGCAGCATGCTCTACTGAACCCAGCCAGATGGGAAGCAAACACACTGCTGGGCTCCTGACCTCGCTGCTCTTTGAGGCTTAATTGTTGAGCGAAGCCTCTCCATTTTCTGCTAAGAATCTGTAAAAACATTGCACAATCTCCTCTTCCTCCTGGCGCCAGGGCAGGAGGAGGGATGAAGGGGCAGGTTTTGTGTAATGCCCACACACCAAACAAGGGACTGGGTCGGGTGGAGCTGTGTAAAATGTAGAGAGATGGGGAGAGGACAGAAAAATAACACTATAATTTTGATCTTCATAGCTGGAGATCAGATCCCACCTAAAGTTCTGGATATGCAAAATAAAAACTTCTGGGTTTTTTTTTAATTGCTTCTCATGGCTGTTACACAGTACATGCATCCATCTGGGATGTTTTGTCCAGTTTGTACTCAATGTGCACAGTACTGATTCCATACAATTCTTATGTACTGGCTGTTCTTAGAGTTTGTAACCACAGTGGTTGTTCCTTGCAGTTGAGTATTTTATGTACTTTGGAAAACTCACTCTAGTGTTGAATGTATTTTATCAGAAGATAAATGTTGCTTTTGTGGTTGGATTTTCCTAAGGCTTATGGAAAAAGGAGATTATCCAGGTTATTTTTCCTCCTCCAATGTTTGTTTTACTTCTTTTTAAAGGACTAAAGACTAGTATTAGGCTTCTGTAATAAGTTTATTTGTTGTTCAGAGGCGTTATTTTAACCATTTACAAAACAGCTATTGCCAGGACTTGGACAAAGATCTCTAACCATGAGGAGCTAAAGGCCCCTCATAGTAACTGGCATAATTCAAGAGAGAAAAGAGATGTAGTTTCATTCTGTGACAGGCTGAAGTAGTAATTCATGAGTGCTAGAAACAAGTGTTGATAAACAGGATAAATCTCATTTCATGTGCATACTTAAAAACAGGCAGCAAGAGACCTCATCCTTGAAATCAGGCTTGTGTTGTTTCAGGAGTGGATGTCAGTATGAACACGCATCTCAAAGCAGTGAAAATGACACTGAAGAACAGAGAGCCCGTACAGCTGGAGACACTGAGCATTCGAGGGAACAACATCCGCTACTTCATTCTGCCGGACAGTTTGCCTCTGGATACTTTGCTAGTTGATGTTGAACCAAAAGTCAAATCCAAGAAAAGAGAAGCAGGTGAGTTTGTGCTTTCCTAGTCTGTGTTTGTTCTGCGTTTGTGTGCATTTTAGTATTGTGAGTCTGAAGGTGTCTGATTTGAGTGTTTGAACATCTGCATTTGGCGTCAAATCCCTTCATGGGTGACGGTTTGACATGGCACTGGCTCAGTCTTCCTTGACCACCTCCCTGACATCTGCTGAGCTTCGTTCACGTGAACGAATGCATCTGTTTTTCAAAATGTTTATCAGCTTGAGTAAGTCTTAACCTGAGTCTTACAGTTGGCACCCAATGAAATTTACACTTCCTCTTCTCCAGATGTCTGTTTCCCCAGTTTGTATGGGGAGCTTCACACAGATACAGGACAGTATCTCAAACGCTGTTGAATGGTTCACTGAAATTTGGTGGGGGATAAAAGGGGTATCCATGAATTTGAGAGACTTGAGAACATAAGGGAATCAAGGCTCCAGTGAATACTCAGTGAGTGCATCTCCACCTTTGGCTCCCAGTAGTGTTCCAGTCTCTGCTCTTCTGCTCTTCCTGGAACTTTTTTTTCAAAGTGCTGCTGAATAAAAATCCTTTTCCTTAGAAGCCTAACAGTACAGACAGTAACTCAAATGTAATCCACACTATTAAAGATGAGTCTCCAGCAAATCCCAGGAATTCAGCAGCAGTAGTATATATTTTGCCACCAGTTAATCTGTGTGTTTTTAAAACAGTGAGCTGTAAGTGAAAGCTAATTGTGCTCTAAAATAACGTTGTAACCATTTCTCTTGTAATTAGTGTTGTAGTAAGTGGGTGTGCAGGATGTTCTGTGCTCAGCTGTGCAGCACCAAGTGCAAGCGCTGTGGCTGCTCCTTTGATAGGGAATAAGGATTAAGCTCCCAAAGGGGCTTTGCTTCTCCAGATTCATTAAACACATGGAGAAATGAGTGTGGTTGCATTGTTTTTTCCCTGAACCTCATGACATGGTGTGAACAAGAACATCCGTGTTTGGTGTCAGCTTTGGGGAAAGCTGCTGTGATAGCTCCAGTTTCCTCTGTTTTATGCTCCCTGCATCCACAATGTGTGGAATTGCTCTCAGACCAAAGCTGTGCTGTGCTTTGTCTTAATCCATAAATGCCCTTGGGCTTCAGAAGTGTAAAACCTTTGATCTGTCCTGGGGAAGTGGTCAGGAAAAAGGGCAGGGTTCTGGCTGGGGTGTATGTGCCACATGTGCTTTGGGTCCAAGCGTGCTGGAGCTTGGTGAGCACAGCTACCTGCTGATCTGTCATCCTCCAGCTGGGGTTGATGCTGCCATGGATTTTACAGGGTCAGTGTATTACCAGCAATATAATGACACCTTGCTTATGTCAAATGTGTCCTGTGTCTCTGCTCCTTCTGTCTTTTCTGCATTTCTAACCTACATCCCAGAATAATTGCCACAGCCTGCTCCTTGAATGTGGATGCCAGTGGGTGTCTCTTAGAGAGCCATCCATTTCTGCAGAATTTTCAGTATCGTTTTGAGCCCTGCACTCACACGTTTGAAATGAAACAATAGTCTAAAGTTTGCAGAGCGTCCTTGCAACCTGGAGGGTCACATTTCTTTGGGAGAGAGAGGTGCAAAGGCATGTTATCACCTTATGGATCATACGATATTCAGCAGTTGCTTGTGGCCTGCACTATCCTATGATTCTGTCTTCCCTTTACAATTAAATAGCAGTAATTAAAACTGAAGTACACAGTCAAGACCTTTGCCTTAGAATCACATCTGCAATTGGCAGAGGCATCACTGAGACGAGTAGGAGCTGTTGGATGCTGGGCTCCTTTCAAAGTACTGACCTTCCACATGGTGCCTGAGACAGAGGATAGGCTTGGGAAGCTCACAGCATGTCGAATACTGTATTTCTCTCTAAAAAAATAGACTGTATATATATAGAAAAAAGATTTCCTGGTTTCCTGTCAGATTACCCAGTCATTCGGGAGCAGCCAACTGTTTTATGCCTTTGTTTTCTGTAGTGAAGGCAAGAACGGACCACAGTAGTCTGTGGAAGCTGTATACTGGAAGAGCTAATGCAAAAGATGAAAATATTTCCTGAAACTTATGAGCATTAATAGACTTAATACCTAACTTAATGTCTTATCCCAGGGAAGCAGCGTGGTGATTATGCTCAATACAGAATGTTTTAATCAAAATGGAAGTATTCCTGGATCTCACTAGATTTACCCTTTTTCTTTTACCTACCAAGTTGCTGGAAGAGGCCGTGGACGAGGCCGTGGCAGAGGCCGAGGTCGTGGAAGAGGAAGAGGAGGCCCAAGGCGATAACTTCTCATCGTACAACTCCTACCAAATTCTGGGCAATTTCGGCTGTTTTTTGTACAGGTCTTGTTTATGGTATCCGTTTTTAATAAATTGAAATGTGAAAAGGTGTCTTTCCTTTGTTAGCAAAGCCTGGGAAGGGAGGCGGATATGTCCTGTTTCTAGGGTTGTTGCAGACTACACGGATCTTGGTTGTCACTGTTGAGATTTTGCCCACTCTTTGGAGGCTGTACAATTCCTCTTGCTTTTTGCCCCTGAATGAGAGACTTGTGTTGTGCTTTAACAATGTTTGAAATTAATCCCTCTTTTCTAAGGCACTTGCTGTCTTTGAATGGTTCCATAGTTAAGACACTGTATTAAGAACCCCTGTCCCATGAATGTCTCTAATACTGTTCTTCAGAGCAACCTTTTTTAAAGTTCATAGATATAATTTTAATGTTTTCTATTACACGAAGCTTGCAATTTAAACATATTGCTTTCTTTATAAAACATTTACACAAGGAAAATTAACCAGGTCTGTGGAACTGCTGGATTGTTACATCTGACGATTAAAGAATACCTGGATATGAACTTTGTCAAAGCTAATTATATTGCATACTTTTGTTTGGGTGGGGCTCGTAAAGCAGCTTTATTACAGATACCTTCTAGGGTACTTAAAGTACATCCCTAGAAAATACAAAGTACAGCACAGTGCCAGTTGCATACTAGAATTGGAAGCTTACTTCAGGAGGTGAGAAAATTGTGCAGCTCACACATGTGTGCATAGATATAGATATATGCATATATAAATATGTATATTCACTGCTTTGCTGGATACAAGTATAAAAGAAGCCATGTTGGCCACATTTATTTCCCACTGCCATCCTGCTGATTACTTCCATGTAGGAAAGCAGTTGTCACATTCTCGTTGCTAGACTTCAACAGTTTCACCTGTTGATGAAATACAGATGTCATTTCAAACAATGAGTACACCTAAGTGTCTTGAAAGGTTTGGGGGTATTTGCTGTTACGTTGGTGCAGGAACATGCTTGGTTGTTCATGTTTCCACACAGGCAGTGCTACAACTATGGAAAAGAATCACCTTATGTTGTGTAATGGGCTGATGTGCTGGTTAATTTGTGCTAGCTGGCATTTTTGTGAGCTGCTTCTCTCCTCACCTCTTTTACAGAGGCCACTTTAAAGCTTCATCTTGTTACAGAAGAGGTTTTTTTTTTCCCCAAAACCATTGTGGAACCTCCCAAGAGCACTTTTTAGTCAATATAGCACCCACCATTCTCAACTCTATAAATAGCTGCTACAAATAATGGTTGCTGCTGTCTTCCAGAAGTGCCCAGTCACTGGTGACAGGGGTAAGGTCTTCCCAAATACAGCTGTCAGCTTTCAGGCAACAGTTGAAATTCGTTCCCTCTTCAGTCTCTTCCTTATAAAAGTTACTAGTGCTCCCAGGGGTATGCACATGGTGGATGCTGCCACCAGCAGCCCGATCACCGCCAGGGCATAGCCTGGGTAATCCTTGGTCACCAGCTGCCCCTGCAAGGGAGAAAAACAGTGTTGGATCTGTGGGATCTGTCCCAGAGTCGGGCCAGGAGCAAAGCTCTGTGTATGGATATAAGCAGGACCTCTGAGAAGCATTTTCAGCCTGGCAGCCCACAGCTGCTCTCCGTGTTCTGTCCAACCATACACACTGAAAACTGACAAGAACAGAGCTGCTGCCAACAGGATTGGGTGAAACTTCTGCAAGCTTTGATAAAGAGCAGATTTTGGCTTGGTCTGTGTTGCTTAATGAGGTGGTTGGGCCCCGACCTCTGTCAGGTCTCTGTTCCTCTCCTGGAGCCTGTGGGCTCATGCTGATACCCAGTCAACAGGCTAGGCCTGCCATGAGTCCCAATGACATGAAAACAATTATGTGCTTTGTTCCTGCATGATGGAAACATTTCCACCAGAGGTTATTAAACCAGTGAACACTTATCCAGTAGTAATTGCTCTGTGATAAATGCACGGTCCAGTACTCTTAAGAAAGAAGAAAAATGTATATGGAAATTATGAAAACTATTTATTCCAGCAGCAGCTCAGTTCTGTTAAAGTAATGGTAATTTTGTTCAAAGTAAATACACTTTGAAAGTAGGGGGCGTATAAGCGTATTTTTAAAGATGATATTTAGGTCTTCAGCATTAATAAAACTTAATCCTATGAAGGGGTCATTAAGAATCATAAAGGGAAATTAGGTGATTTTACAGAATCATTGCATCATCACTAAGTCAAGTTTTCCCTGGTTATCCTTTCCAAAATTAAGGGATGGCCCTGACTCCAGCTACTCACTTTCAGAAGGCCATTTTGAGGAACAGTGTAGTTAGGAAGGAAGCTTGTATCCTTGCATGAACTAAGGAAAGTCTAAAACAGAAAAAAAGCCCAAATCCAAAACTTTACCTGTGTGGCATCCCATGCTTGATATTGCAATGTTCCTGTGAGGATATAGTCGGTGAGGTAAAAGATAAATAGACTTATAATTAGCAGTGGACTGACAAAAGCCCACATAATTTTCCAATACCAGTTTGGCTTGCGTCCAATCATGGTGTAAAGATCTTTCTCAAATCTGTTCAAAAGAAAACCAAACATTTTTGTGAAGAAAACCAAACGTGTATTTTTGAGACCAGCTACAGATATTCGATCAATACTTTGTTCTGCATTTCTTGAAAAACCACCTACAGAATCGAGTATGTCCGATGAGAAAGGGGAGTACATTTGACCACAAATGAGCAGAGAATTATTGTCTGAAAAGCTGGCTCACCAGAATCACAGTAAGGGGGAAATCAAAAAAGACAGTGAGGCTTCCAAGAGAATCCCAAGTTGCAGAGAGTAGCTGGAAATAGGTACAGCAAGAAAGTTCTGCCTGAAGTGTAAGCTCAGACTGTTGCTGGTGTCAGCTGACAGAGAGAAGCAATGATGCTGAAGTACTGTGGAGCAAACAGCTGGGTTTGTGCAGCTGAGTGTTATCGGTGCTGTTACAACTGTCTTTGAGGAAGTACTGACAATGGGAATGGTACCTCAAAACTCACGGGAGACCTGGATCCGATTCAAAGGCTTTGAACTCGTCAGGGAAGAAATACCCACGTGTGTGCCTGGACACCCTCTGTGCTGGCAGACTAACAAAACAAATGCTGAAGCCTTTCCTTTCAGCTATTTTCAAACACCTTTGCTGTTCAAAACTTCTGATTCCAGAGCTTCCTTTTACCCACAAGGATTGACTTGGGAGACAAACAATGTGCGAGGTGACCACCTTTGAAACCAGACTTACTGGCACCCTCGGGCTCGTGCTGAATTCCGGTCATGGTCCTGAGACCAAAGACAAGAGCAGGGAGCTGTGTGTATAGCTCCTTAGTACTCCCTGCCAGCAGAGACAGTGTCAGCCCAGCCTGGCCCCTCACAGCCCTGAGCTAAGGCCCTGGAAGTGGTCTGCAGGGCAGGGGAGACCCCCATCCCCCTGCTGATCCTATAGCACAGGAGAAGCATTTATCCCAAGACAGTATTTTTATTCTTGGCCCATGGCCAAGCTGTCCTACTATGAAGGAAGCAGGGCTCAGCTTTTACCTCCTTATCCCATAGATGTAACAGACAGCGATGGTTTCCACAAGCACAATGAGCAGCAGTGAGAGGGTGGCTGCGTAGTCATTGAAGATGTCAAACCAGTAATTTCCAGCCTCCATGGTGAAGATCAGGCCAATTATACAATTCACGAAACACACAACACCTGCATGGATAAAACATGGATCCTGCCATTACACCTGGAAGTTTGTGCAGGGAGAATGTCACACTTCTTGTGACTAAAGAGCTGGTGGGATTTCTCCTGAACAGTTTTCTCTGAGGAGAAGGATATAATTTTCCCCTGTGGAGAAGACCTGCCCCTTTGCGTTGTGTGACTGTCGTTAAACTGCTTCTCCTTAGCCCTGCACAGTCACAGTGCATCACCCCAGACGTAGTCAAAACAACCAGTTGTTAGCTACAGCCTTGTCAGATGTGCATGCAGCATCTGCTGTTGCCGCTGGGCATCCAGCTAAAACAGGTTTTAAGGTAGGACAACTCATTTTCATGCCCAGAGAGAAGCACATACTTCTTTTGACCAAGAGCTGAGGCACCTCATTGTTGGGATCCTGGCGATGTGACTGAACAGCTACTTGCTGCAACTATGTTGCCATTTGTGTCCTCCCTTAAAGTTTCACCAGTCAGGAGACACGAGTCTGAAGGAGCTGGGGTGTGTCCGGAAGCCTGGAAATACACAGCCGTGACTGCCCTGGTGCTTTGGGAGCTCTCAAAGGGAAACGACTGCACAGGATGGGCAGGATTTCACAAGGGCAGGCAAGCCCTTCCAGCAGCATATTTGGTGTTCTCTGCTCCACTCGAGGTCAGAGAGTGGAGTGGCACTCCAGTCAACAGCAGTGGGACACCACAGCTTCTGCACACACACACACACGCACACACACACACTTACACACACGCTCACCGTGTGGCCGGTGCTGCAGCCTGGCGGTGCTTACCTGAGACCACCTCCTTGGGAAAGCGGGAGGCAATCACCCTGCTGTCGGTCAGTGGTGTGAGGATGGCCGCCGTGTTTCCCAGCATGCTGCCGATGCCCAGCATCAGCAGCATAAAGAAGTAGAGCACAGAGTACAGCTGGGGCACCTCCATGTTTTTGATTGCTTCCGAATAGACTATAAATGCCAGTCCCGTCCCCTGGACAGCCTGATGGAGGCAAGAGGAGAAAACCGAGTTATAGGCAGCTCCTCAGCTCGATAAAGGACCTAAGACAAAAGAGAGTGACTCTGTGTCATAACAAAGTACACCTGAGGTGTGGCTTTGCACAGCAAAGGCAGGTGAGGTCTTCACTGGTTTATCCCAGACTTCACTGTTTTATGCACAGGCACTGATGGTAATGATCCAAGCTAGCCCCTGCCCCATCCTGAGGTGTAGAAACGATCCCCAGCCATGGCAAGGCAGCTCCTGGGCTCACACGGGTTGCCTGGGCTCAATGGGAGCAAAGGAGACACCACAAAGTGGCAACTCACCGTGTCTAGCTCAGCTTCCAAACTGCAGTTTTTAATCTGTGGTGCTAATTGGGCATATTCCTGTGGATAGGTGGCCATGAGGTAATCTTTCATTTCATTGAGGTTGTCTGCTGTTAAAGAGCCTTCCTCCAAGTCAAAAGCATTCAGCAGCAGCAGGATCATCCTGGGAAGGATTACAGGAACGTAATGGCTTTCAGGCCCAGGATACCTCATCCCTTTTCTCCATTGGCCCCCATGGGGATGCTTTTCTAGCCCCAGGGCTTCAGTCTCCCTGGGTGAGAGCAGCACTTCCAGCACCGTGTTGGGACATGGGGCAACCTTGTACTCATTTGTGCCTTGGAGAGAGCAGCTCTTGCACCCACACTGCTGCTCGAAGACAGGTATTTTGGGTGCTGGCTGGTATCTCTTCCCCTTTGCCCTGCAGTCTCACGTCCACACTACAGCAACTTTAAAGTCTTTTGGCAACAATCAAGGACTAGCAGCTTCATTTCCTCTCTGATCAGCAGATAGATTGAAAGCTCTAAAAATATGAGTAAATGTGTAACTGCCATGGGCCCTGTTCCAGGGACTTCATGCAAGTTTGCAGCTACAGGACACAATCCCATAGGCTGCCAGGCACTTGCAGAGTATCACAGCCAAGGAGGCTGAGCTCCTGGAACTTAAGGGCTTAGCCTTAAAAAGGGGGATATGAGCATCACTGCATTTGTTAATCAGCTCCCCCACACTCCCTGGAGCATGGGCCAGAACAAGAACACAAGGAAAAGTGCCTCTGTAACTTGCCTAGGCAAATTCATCCTCTTGACTAGGTCTGTGCCTGGAAGCAGCACCCAGGTGTCAAAAGGCAAAGTGCTCTGACCTTTCATCTCAGGCTTCATCACTTTGAATAACTCCTTTAGCTTTATTAGAGCAGTATCAGCTGTGGTCTTGGGGCAGTGCTGGCAGTGCTGCATGCTGTTATTCATTTACCTCCCCCACACTTGCCCCAGAATAGCTTGCAGCAGAAAACCAGTGAAACACCAGGCTCTTACTTGCTGATACAGCTCTCATAGTTGAAGGTCGCCTTGAAACCGTAGATGGAGAAAGTGACAATGCTGGCAAATATGGAGGTGGTGCTGTTGATGAGGGACACGATGATGGCGTGTCTCTGGCAGTTGTTGCTGGGCTCGTTGTAGCTGGCAAAGGCAATGAGGCTGCCAAAGCCAAGGCCCAGCGAGAAGAAGATCTGCGTGGCAGCACTGATCCAGGTCTTGGGGTTCAACAGCTGCTCCAGCTGCAAAAGCCGGACAAGACAGCAAGACCATGAAGTTCCACAAAATGCCCAGCACTGCCCCTTCCAGTCTGCAGGGATGGGGACAAGGGCAGGGATGGGACCCTTTGTGCACTCATTACAGGTCAGGGGTGTTTTTGGACAGGGTTACTGCTCTGACTGAAAATTATAGGTTATGCTAATGGGAAGGTCTTTTTCTGCAGGAAAAAGCAAGCAGTTTACGGGCACCATGGCAGCCTCCAGCCACTCCCAGCTGAGGTTTCCAGTTGCAGACCTATGCTACTGCTGCAAAAATTCAGTAGAAAAAAAAGGAGGACCAAGATCTTTTAAAATATTATATGCTAAGTGACCAATAACTTTTCTTGAAAAATTCAGTACAATTTTTCTGTACCTTTGGTGTGAACATGTAGATGAGCCCATTCACGGCTCCATGAAGTGTTAATCCTCTGATGAGGTATATGATGAGAACACAGTATGGCAAAGAGGCTGTCACGTAAACAACCTGGGGAAAGAGGGTAAAGACCTTGGTCTAAAGAATACATAAGACAAAGCTAATCTGCTATGTCAGTCTCACTTTACATAAATAATTTCCTTTATTGTGTTTGTTATCCCATATTAATCTTCAAAGAAGTATTATCAGACAAATCTAACTTTAGATAATCATTTTAGGGAAAGAAGTTTTTAATAATACTGAAGACCCACCTACTGTTCCAAGCATCATCTCTTTGATTGGAAATCAAACAAAATTCTAAAATATTTGCAGCATTCACAAACTCAGTTCTGCATCGTTTGGCGGCGTAACACCAGTTCACAACTATCTATCAAAAAGTCATTAGGCAAAGGTCATTCATCATTTGCTCTAAAAGGAGGGCAAGCAGAGCTCGTAAAAGGTCAAAATCAAACTTGAATTCAATCAAATTGAATCAAAATTTAATTTAATCAGTTGCAGCAAGTTTAAGAGGTTTTTCCTAGTTTACAGTCTCTTGGCTTTCTGTATTTGGCTAACACGATTTGGGGATTACAGCCCTCAGCTTGCTGCTTAGTGCAGGCTCAGCCAGGACATTGGGGTTTCTCTCCCCACTTCCTCATAACTTCTGCTGTGAATAAGAAGCAAGCAAAAAATGTCTAGTAGATATCTTGTTTGTCGTGCAAAGACCAAGGAATAGACGTCTCCTGACATTTCTCTGACAACTGGCCATGAGAGAGAGCTGGCTGTGTTTAAAGGACTTCTCTGAATTATTTTTCAGTATCACTCAGTGTTTTGATTGATCCTGCTTCAGCTGCAACTTGACAGGGCAGCAGAGCTGGGTGCTCCGGGTGAGATGCCGTGACCCCAAGGAGCAGCAGCCATCTCCCATGCCTGTCAGCGCTCGTTTCCCCTCCCCGCGTCCCGCCCGGGCTCAGCCGGGCTGTGCCCCGCTCTCACCTTGCCGGTGGAGGCGGTGCCGCGGAGGATACACAGGTAAACCACGAGCCAGGCCAGCGTCAAGCACAGCGCCTGTTCCCACTGCACGCTCCCGCCGGCCTCCAGCGACGGGGAGATGTTCAGGGTCTGCCGGTACCAGAAGTACTGCGTGGACGAGGTCTTCTCACACTCCTCCTCGTAGCCCGTGCGGTTGCTGTTGAGGGGGCAGGTGGCCCATGGCAGGGGGTCCTGGGAGGAAGGGGCATGGAATGAGTGAGTGTAGACTGTCAGCATGGCAGGGAGAGCTGAGGTGCCAGTGGGGAACAGGGAGGATGATGGCAAGGGCACCTTTCTACCTGGGCTGGCTTCTCACTGCATGGTGCTGCCCGGTATGACCCTCTCCCTTGGAGATTATCTCTTTTGACCATCTCCCTTGGGAATGGCCCTCTCCCCAAGGACTGATGCTTTCTGATCCTCTCCCCTGGGGTTGACCCTTTCTGAACCCCCTACCCAAGGACAGATCAGCTCTGTCCCTCTTCCTTGCAGGTGACCAGACTGATTCTCCCCCCAAGGACTGAGCCTCTTTAGCCCTCTCCCCTGGGGAAGACACTCTCCAAGCCTCTACCATGGGGCCAAACCTCTGCCATCAGACAGGCCCACCCCACGATACAGGACACCTGGCACCAAGGCACATGTGACCAAAGCTTCAGAAGCTCGGCTTTGACCTGAATTCCATGGTGAGGAGAAGACAACGGCCAATGCCTCTAGGAAGACTATGAAGGAGGATATCACTGCCTCACTTTTCCATCCAGCAAAGCCCAGAGTTTCTGAAGCTTTTGACACCCCTCCACCTCCCCATTCCCAGCTGACAATGGTGCCATGCGACATCCAGCACCAATGCAAAGCCACTGTGACCCTCCGCAGCCACAGTGGGACCAAACTGGGCCGCTGGGAGCCCACACACCTGGAAGGAGTGGAAGAGGTACCAGAAGGCCCAGGCATTTATCACATTGTAGTACATGGAGAGGAAGAAGGAAACAACAACACTGGCAACTCCTGTGGATATGGAGGGAGACACTTGGTCAGCAGAAAACCCCAAGATGCCCAGGGCTCTATAACATCTGTGGGGTGTGAGAGCAGCCCATCATGGCTGACACAGGAGAGGCTTTGTCCATGCACAGCCATGTGCACAGGACATGTCCCTGTCACTCTAGTCACTGCCTCCTCCTCCCACCAGGACCACCCTGAACTGGATTTGATGCTCTAGGTCCTGGAGAGTGAATATTCAATGTATCATTAAAAATAAAATATATGTTTATGCAAAGTAATGAAAGCTTGGGTTTTCAGGGTAAATTAACAACATAAAAATGTAGCTAAGAGTGAACATTGATAAATGGTAGACTGGAACAGTAGGAAATTAAGGCACCATTTTATTACTCATGAGCTTATTGGGAAGGTGCTCTTGGGGTCAATGCCCAATGTAGACAGCCCCAAGGGCTGAGTTTAGCACAGGTCTTCATACCAATATTTTGGCAGTCTGCCTGAGGGCAGGGGGACTCACACCTCTTAATCCAGACCCAACACAGCAAGCTGGGGTCTGGCCCCAGTGCCCAACAAGGGATAGGATAAATGCATGCCATGAGGTGTCTGGCTTTGCTCAGCCTGGTGAGACACAGTAAAACCTGAGCCCCCACCAGGGTCCATTCTGAAAGACAAAGCTCTCCAATCTCAAATCACCCATGTTCCTTGCATGTTGGAAAATAAAGATGGAAACTAAGAACATACCAACACCACAGAGGTAGGGGCTTATTATTTTCCAGGCGCCAATGCTGCCCTGCCGCATGCGCTGTCCCACAGCCAGTTCCAAGTACAGCAGCGGCATCCCCTCAGCAATCAACATTATTAGGTACGGGATTAAAAAGCCACCTGTGAGAACAAACCCTACAGTCAGCCTTCAGCAGCAAGATAAACACGTTGCCCTATTTGTGTCCAAGTCGTGCTGTCAGCGTCCCAGAGGCTGGCTGGGTCTGGGTCCTGGTCCTATCCGAGTACCTTGAGTGCTGAGGGCACGACCCGGTCTTGAAGGACATCTCACAGAGCTTTCAGGCAGCGTCCCAGAGGCTGGTGGGGCTCTGGCTGGCGAGGCCTGGACACGGGGAATTTTCCACAGAGACTTGGCAGGGCTGGGATTTCTGCTGTTAAACTTTGTTTATCGGCGCTGTGGGGTGGCAGCGCTGCCCAGATGGTGTCCGAGCGGTTTGAGCAATGCTGGGGGCTGGGGCTGTTAAAGGGTAACCTTGTAACCGATTAGGAGACAAAGAGGATGAGGGAAAGATTTACTTCAGCGTGGGGTGTTCTGCCACGAAGCCGAAGTGCTCAGAGAAAAGCAAGTCTGCGTCAGAGAGTTTTGAGTTACATACTGAAGTTTGGCCTTGCTTAAAAATAAAAAACAAACAAACAAAGAAGCTCCCAAATTCCCATGCTGAGCCCACAAGCACATGAATGAATGCTTTTCCCCCAGGGCCTCGCCTGCGGGGACAGAACCAGAGTCTCCTTCCGCATGGGGCTGCTCATCCCTGCTTCCCTCCACAATGAGAGCCAGACATGATCCTGTGGAAAAGGAACTGCAGGAATAGGAAGGTTGACAGCGAGGAAAAGAAAAGGACCTTCCCACCTGGCAACCAGGATGTGCTTTGGCTTAAATTTCTGCCAAAAAAAAAAAAAAAAATCCTTGTATTCGACCTGTGGCTCACTTCAGAAAGAGCTGCTAGCTGAGTCAAAAGCTGGATTTTTGTGAAGGCTTCCCTGCTTCCCTTTTTACAGCAAGCCAAAATATTTACGTAAATATCTCTTATTTAGGATTTAATCTGTGGCATTAACATTCCTTGCAATGGGCTCTGTGCAGCGCTGTGGAGGAAAGAACTCCATGCAGCGACTGAGGCAAAGACCTGGAAATAAACACAGAGCAATAATCCGGTTTATTCTGGGAATTAATTTCCCACCTCCCAGCTCTCTTGTTATTAACAAACCCTTTGTTATTCTGTTAGATAACTTCCTATGCCGCAAGGGAGCTGTCGGAGCTTTAAGAGCTCCCGCAGCCGCTCCGTGCCGGTGGGGTGCGTGCCGCCCCACAGCCAGGGAGGGAGTTCTGCCCTGTACCACAGGGGAATCAGCATCAGACCCTTGCAAAGGTTCGCCACTCTCCCAGCAGCGCTGCTACATTTTGGGCATTGACTGTGCCGCCTGCCAAGGAGGAGAATGCCTTCAGGCTTGTTCTTCATCCCAATATTCCCCCGCAGCCGCGGGGGCCAGGGCTAAGCCCCTGCCCCTCTCTCTGCGCAGATCTCACTCCTAGTGCTACTCTTTCCAAACACTAGAACCAAAATGTCTCACACAAATGACTCTGGGAAGCCGATAAACCAGCTCCTTATCAGCTGTGAATCAGCACAGCTCCATTCAAATCTCTACTCATTCACACCGGGCGTTGCTCTCTACGGTGTCAGCTGTCTGCAAAAACCAGCCCCTCGGCCAGATCCCTGTAGCTGGCAAAACGTGCAGGGTTCCCTGGCTCTGCTCAAGGCACTGGGCTTGGCCAGTGGCACCGTCGCCCCTGCTCAGGCTCCTGCCTGGTGCTCAGGGGCTTCCTCGCCCAGGGCTGAGTGCTGCTGAGTACCAGCCCCGCTGCAGACCCAGCCCAGCTTCGTTTCAGCCTAGCCCAGCCTGCTTAGAGACAGAGAACGGCACCTACGAGGTTTGAATCCCCGCAGCTCTGCTCAGGTCATGCTCCCTGCAGGAAAGCAAGGAGAAGGAGGAGAAGGAGGCAAACTGCTGATGAACAGAATGACAAAGGTTACAAAGTCTGCAAATACTCAGTATTATCCGTGATAAGGGCATTATTGCCAGGCTGGGCAAGACAGGATCTGGCTTTGTGCTTTACTACAAGGAAGATGCCAAACAAGCTGGCGTCCCCCCTAATCCCAGTGCCTGGCATATCCAGCTTTTAAGTTCCTAAAACGATGTTCTGTATGCGTGGGTTTTGTGAACCCCTGGAAAGCCACAGAATCCTCTTTAAGAGGGCATTGAATAAAACAAGAAAAGCAAAACCTCCTGTCAGGAGTTTTAATTTCACAGTAGAAAGAGCTGCCTTTCCCCACATAAATATAAGTGGTGAAGAGAAAAATAATGGAAAAACATTCTTATAAAACATGCTTTTCAGAAAATACTTGGGTGTATCATAGAATGGTTTGAGTTTGAAGGCACCTTTTAAAGATCATCTAGTTCAAAGCCCCTGCAATGAGCAGGGAAGTTTATTTAAGCTTCTATTCAGGTTAACTAAGTGTTCCAGTTTTAGTTGCATTTCAGAAAATTTTCACCACCTACTACAATACAGATGTCTGATTAAAAGAATGGCACAAAACTCCCCAAAATGTCCGATTTTTTCTGTCCTTCAGGATGTCTGCCATGATGGGCTGCTAGTGAACTGATCACAAGCAGTTTGAATTTATACAGAAACACATTTTAAACTTTCTGCTAGAGTTCAGTGTCAGATATGAAAAAAAAAGCATGTGTAGCAGAATACATACAAAATTACAGCACATCTAATATTTCTGCTATCTGAACTGTCTAAGAAAGCTTCAGCCATTACAGTACTTATCTTCTACTGACACTTCACCCATCACATTATCTGGATTTTTCTGACCTGATCCCACAGGATAGTTCTGATGCAGTCTCAGTGCTGAAATGGCTTTTCAAACAGCAGCATGAACCAACTCCTACCACAAGTGCATTCAGAAGTAAGCTACAAGCCAACAAAACAAGCATAAAAGCAAAAAACCATTTAACATCTCAGTGTTTCTTCCTGGAAGGAAGAAAAGGCAGAAGGAGACCTGAAGCAGATGAGGCAAATGTTCATCATGTGCCTTAATGCAAGATGGAGACAGGTCCCAAACTATGACAACAGATGAAGTATGAGAAGCTGTGAAAAACTTGATTGTCTTATAGAGACAATAGCCTGTTTCTAAAGATTCTTCAAAACAGTGGTAGCTGTATAATAGAGGAGATTATTAAAACTACTCTTTAATTAATCTAATTAACTGACTTGATTTCTAAGGAAGAACAGCTGCGGCTTGTATATACCACAAATAGCATCTTCCTTCAGTTTGGACCCAGGAGGAGGATAAACTTTCAAAGAAGGTTTTGGGGGTCTTTTTGGCTATTTATTTTTGGAGGACAAAATTTATTCCTTATTTTCAAAGGTTCCTGGGAGGCTTTAGCTGTGGAACTCCTGTTGATTAAGGCATTTCAGCCAATTTCAAGGCAGATTTGCAGCCAAGTTATCATCTTCTAAAATACAGCTTTGTATACAAGACAAGATATTAGTGACAGGTACTTGAAATAATACAGCTGATCTTTAAGTTAAATAAATGTAATCATCTCCTCTTCTCAATATTTTCCAAGTCCCCATAGGTGAAAGTACAAGGACACAAATCCATTTCTGACACCTTCAGAGTGATTCAGTGGGGCAAAAATATAATAAGTGAATACTGTGTGGATCTATATCTCTCACTTTATCTCCATTTTTTTAGAAAACACGGGTTTTCCCACTGTTTCATTGTAGCTACAGGAAACAAATGCCACTGTATCGGGGCAGCCGTCAGGTAAAAGCCTAATGCTAAAGAATACATAAAATAAAGCCACAATAAAATAGATTGTACACCAACAGAAAGCCAGACTTCCTACTCTGCCCTGGATCTTGCCGGGTGAACAGAGCATTAACATGGACAACATACTTTTGGACTTAAAGCTTGCCCCACTTCTCCTCGAGGGAAGCAAGAAAATGTAAACCACACTTACCTCCTCCGTACATCTGACATAAGTATGGAAACCTCCACACATTTCCCAACCCCACAGCATAGGAAATGCAAGCGAAAACGAACTGTAGGGGATTGTCCCATAAGGGTCGGGATTTCTCCATTGCTTTCTTGCAGGCAGAGGTTTCAGCAGAGCTTCCTGCCTTCACTCCCTCATGTACTCTGCCAACCGTGCCTCACACTCCACGCCAGTCCGGCTTGGAGGGGAGGGAAAGGCGGAGGAGCTGTGCTTGCCAATTCCTATCAAGCTTTTTAATTACTAATCTTATTAACAGGCACATACTGAAATAGGAATGCTGGTAAATAGATTATAGACACACACAGAACTATAAAATTGGCACTTTGGGTGAATAGCTGCTTGGGTTTTGCTGGCATTTCTGGGAAGGATGTGAGCTGAGGGATTTTTATCGACTCACATGTCAACTTGAAGCTGTGAGGAAATAACACTAGGGCTGCAGTTTGGTTTTGGAAATGGGACATTCCTTCCCCACAGGGCTCCCTTCCTACCGAGTGGCATTCATGTGCATGAGGCACCAGCTTGAATTTGATTGCACAGAAGAGGGGTTCCCACACCATTAGGACTGGTTTTAGAGACTGTCAGTGTTTTAGGGAAAGAATAAACTGAATCCTCAGATATCTTATCACTGTGTCCTAGCGCTTATCTCAACCAACCCAGCACACTCCTCAGTTCCAAAACAGTCACATCAGCCATGCAGGTCCCCAGTATGGTGCACACTTGAATCCAGTCTGATTCTCCCAGAATACTGCCTTCCGTCTACATACTCGGCATGTGTGTGACAGTGTGAAACAGCCAGTCTCTTTCCACTTACCTTCATGCTCAAACCCCACTGCTGTACATGAACTTTTTTGAGGAGTTACCATTTTAAAATGCTTTCAAGCAGCAGGGACCAAATACAAAGGCCAGTGGAAAAGGTATCTGTAGCCATTGTGGAGGCAGAAGGATGTAGGGGGCCTTTGGGTCATCTGAAGGCACACTGAGGTGCCAGGTCTGAACATGAATGCTGTGTTTTTGGGCCCCTGCCAAAGTACACTTCGAGCTCAACCACTTTGGACAGGTCTCCCAGTGAAGGAGGCTGCCAGCAGCATCTGCAGCAATAAAAGTAGCTGAGCAATGCCAAGGACTCGGTTTCCTTCCTCTGTTTAAACGTTTTTTTTCCCCCCAGGGCATCTTTCAGGACCATTTTACAAGTAAGAGTCGCTCAGCTGCTGTCTGTCTCATTCCTCCAGTGCCAGAAATTTGCTCCCTGCTAGTTTTCTGTGTGCTGCTCCAGCATCCCATTGGGCACCGGCCAAGCCAAGGCCTCCAGCTGTCGGTGTGCATGAGAACTCCAACCCCAGGGCCTTTGGACAGGAGCCTGAACTGCAGAGTGTGTCATGCAGTTGGGCACAGCAGCAGCACTCAGGTGGACCTGCTGACCAGATACCTGTATTATCAGTCACAAGGTGGGACATCATTTTCCTGTCTGCTAAGAAAGGTGATGGCGCCTCCACGATGGCAAGAGGTTTACACATCTCCCATAAGTGCATCCATTCTTCAGGGTGTATTTTAGTAGTGCTAGAAATGTAAATTGCCACTGGAAAACATCAATTTGCCAAAGTCACCTGTAGTTTTGAGGGAGTTTGTGACTTTTTTGCAGCATCTGTGCAGTTCTTGTCTTGCCTGCAGAACTGCAACATGCCAGTTAGCCCTGGCAATATGTCTCATGGATATAACCTAGAATTCTGCTGGAAGGAATAATCCAACATAATTTAAAATCCATAAAGTGCTAAACTGAAACAGAACTGAAACACACAGAGAGAATGTGAGTTGTCCCACATCATGAAAACTTTCACAAATTATTAGAAAGTCAAATGCCTGTCCTTGGCAGTGGGATTTATTATAAATGATGTGTATAAATAGCTTACAGAATTAAATAATTTGCTGTCAGGACAGCCTTAAAAAATAGTACATCACTAACACTTAGGATGCTTCTGTGTGAATACATTACCCCTACTGATGAGCATCATCAAGTTAAAGATTTCCTTGGCTCTGTACCCTCCTTCCCATTACATTTCAAACTAGTTTACTAATGGACTGGAGGAGATCATGCAGGCAGAGAGGTGTGATGTCCTCACCTTGGGTCAGGCCAGATCAGGAAGTTAGGCAGAATGAGATGAATCCTTGCCTCTCTCAGAAATGTCAGTCTCATCAGTAGCTCAGATCTCATAGACTACTGTGAGGTTTTTTTACAAGTGGTCATGCACATAGGCATCCAGTAAAGTGCCTGTCATCTAGTGGCTGCTTGGGACACACGTTTTAAATATATTTAAATATATTTAAATAGACAACACTTAGGAATTCTTGCTGTGGGACTTTCTACACACACCTCAGATTATCAATATGCTATTTCTGATGCTGCTCATGATTTTTATCTCCTTTGACCAGCTTCCATTTGGCTTAGGGATGGGCCTGGCTTCATCTTTAGGGACGAAGACAAACCTTTAATAGACATATGTAGGAAATTTTGATCATGTCTCTGCTCATAGTAAAGATGGATTAGAAAGATTTTTTTCTCCCAGTACCTAACAAATTTGAGATGTGAGGTTTGGTGGAGTGGTTGAGAAAGGCAGGGGTTCATCTGCACAGCAGATCAGGGAATGATGGGATTGCCCAGTAGAACTATGTAAACCTAGTCAGAAGCTGATAAACAAAGCAAAGAATCCCATTTCTCACTGAAGCAAAACCTCAAGTACCTAGGTATCAACTAGGTATCAACTAAAAGCCCAGGTCAAATGTCTCTTGATGTCAGTACAGTAAAAAGCCAAATGCTTCTCCCAGCTACCTAAAATGCAGACAAAAAGGGAATCTGGGGTCCTAGCAACAGGTTGGGGACCGTGATTTCAGGGAGAGAGAGAAGCTTAATAGTTTGATTGGCAAAAGTCATGGAAACGAGGGAAGAATTTCTACAAGGTAGCCTGGACCTTTATTACGCTATCTCCAACATATACCGCTATGCCCCTTAGATTTAAAAATAAACCCTCTGGGCCTTCCTTGATCAGCCAGATATATGGGAAGTGGACAACATGTCAGCAGCTCTTCAATTCCTGGAGGCACTCACTTCCAAATGCAAACACTGCTAGTGTGTCAGATGACTATCAAAGCAAAGCCATGGAGTGTCTACAGTCTCTGCATGTAGCTTGTCAAGGGAAGCAGATATGCAGACAAAGGAGTAGCAGTTTCCACACATGGGTTTTCTGTTGGGATTCACTGTTCAGAGTTGCTACCCTAAGATGCCTATTTCCTTACCTTGAGAGAAAGAAAGAATCCATCTAGATTTCCAGATCTTTGACAACTCATAGGCCATAACAACTGCTGGGCAATTGCTCTATAATCGGAGATTACAGTTACTCCTCTAAGCAGTTACTAGGATTACAATTATTCCTTCCAGTTTATCATTTATCACTACTACTTGCTGTTTAGCTCCAAACTGTAGATGATGCCTTTAAGGTCTGTACCCTGAAGTAATTTCCAGCTTCTTAATCACCCTTAAAACTGCTTCACTTTACCTCAACCTCCCAAGAAAAGCATGCCTGAAAACAGTCTCACTTTTTATTTTCCTTGGCATCACAGCTCTATCCATCTTCTGACTGTGTCATTTTTTAGGGTACTCACTCCATAAAGGTGCACTCAATGAAGTATGGATTTGTAGAATTGCACCTAATTCACCCAGACTTCAAAACTGACCTATGTCAAATGAGAGTCAGAAACTGGCATGTCACTAAAAAATAGCTGTATTACTCAGTCAGTTCTTCTGCTTGTCACCCGCCAGTTCCCACTTTTTCTGTACAAGCTTTCCTGCAATTTGGGGAGGTCTCTGGGCAGCTCTCTTATTCACCAGCAGCTGTCAGTCGTGAGCTGCCCTGCCACAGTCCTGCACCAACCACTCTTGCATCACCATGACTTACCACAGACACTCCAAGGCACTACATCAACAAGTTCCTAAAAATAATAATTTAAAAATAATTAACAAACAAAAGCTTCTATTGAAACAGGATGACATGAATCTACCCACCTTTATTTGGAAAAGAGTTGACTGCAAAGAAGCTGCCTAATGGGTCAGGATATGGTCGAGGGGAGACTGCTAAGGAGAGCACATCTAGACGTTTTCAGGGAGAGTCTGTAGACAGCCAAAACACGGCAGGAATCCTGGGACAACACTTTCCCTGGGACATTGTCAAAATTAACAATCATAGGGTAACTCCCTAGGAGCATTCTCTGCTCAAAGTCAGTTACAAAAATAACTACGGTAACAATTGCAATAACAATTCTTACCTGTCCATATACAAATTTACCTTCAAATGACTTCAAAATATTTTAGAAGGCACATCCTTCTAGACCACATCAAACCTTTCAACCTTGATCCATTCAGCCACCTGGTACCTCAACATGATTCACATTTGCTTCCTGAGTCAGTAAAGATTTCCCTGTGGTTTCACAGCATTTAATATCACACAGAAGTTAAGACCTGTCCTTGATAATGCCAGAAAAGGGAAATCAAACTAAGGAATCTTACAAATGTTTTGGCTGGACTGAAATCTACACTCCTAGCAGATGACTGGGTTTCCCAAAAGCAAGGTATGTGGGAAATGTGCAAATTTCAGCTGTTTTAAATATTAGTCTAGCAAACAAAAAGGAGCACTTGCAGGTTAAGTGTCAATGTATGTATTAGTATTCACCTTAGGACATTTTTTAAAATGGCTATTAGCCATAAGAGAAAAACAGGTTAATACTTTATGAACAGTTAAAGATCATTGGTTAATACATGGTCTCATTAAGATGGCAACATGCAGGACTACTGGCTCATTTCTTAACAATCACTTAAGTCACTGTTGGAGCATAGGGCTGTTTGCTGGCTGTTAGTCAGTACTAGCAGAGCTGAGACCCTAGATTTCATTCCCATATTCTTCAGTCTGCAAGAAAAAAAAACAAAACAAAATAAAAAACCAAACCCCATCCAGCCTGAGAGAGATCAGATTTCTGCAGACCAGCCAGTCATACAGAAATTTTCTTTTTAAACATTCCCTTCAGGCATAACTAGGGAAATAACAACTGAAATGG